ATACCTATTATGACAATTTGGCAATTATTAGGAACCACTTCCTTCATTCTTTTTTATTTGAACCGTCTTGACTTTTACACTATTTACCACCACTTTTGACCGTCTTTTGTAAATGATGTGTGAACGTTCTGAATTCGTTTTAATAAATACTATCATAATAAACAACTTTTATAAATTTTAAATATGATGAATTAAAGTTATTGATCGCTAAAGTTTTGTATTGACAAATGTGATAAAAACAATAAGTCAAATAAAAAAATAATAATAAAAAAAAGGAAGTATAAAGTAGTGGCATTGGGTTGTAAAGTAAGTCGTGGACTTGTGGTACTTACAAAAACTTCCAATGATGTTCAACGAACTCTCAATGGTACAATTATTGATGTACATTAGGCTAACATCATTGCCTTGATTTCATATACAACCTCTATTTTATTTTATTTACAATTTTTGTCAAAAATAAATGCTAAATATTTTGCAATTTGTTTCATAGTATTTCATCACACTTTAAAAAGTTAAATTTTATCATTTTTGACCATTAGTCTACAACTTCTCATTAATCAACCGACAAAGTTGATAGTTTATGTGATTTCTAGAGCATAATTTTAATGTATACTAGATGAAGCCCGTGCGATGCACGGTTTGTTTGAATTTTTTAAAATAATATTTTTACAAATATATATTTATGTGTTAAAAATTGTTAAATATTTAGATAAAATTCATGATATTAAAAGATAATATTTTATATTTAATTAATTTAAACCGAATAATCTCATTCGCAAATTTTGCTTACGTGTCAGTTAAATTATTTAATTCTAAAAGAAATTAATAATCTCGTATTTAATTGGCTACCACTAAAATTTATTATCCTACGTGGCGTGCTGAAAAAATTAAATGTTATGTGGCTTTCTAAAAACTCGGGAAAAAACTCCCCTTTATATATATATATATATATATATATATATATATATATATATATATATATTATATATATATATATATATATATATATATATATATATTAGATTAGATGAAAGCCCGTGCAATGCACGGTTTTTTTATATTTTGTTTTGAATATTTCTTGTGATTTCTTTCGAGGAAACCCCAGTTAATCTCTGGGATAATCTCTAAGGGTTCGTTTGGCATTGTTGTGGTTTTCAGCCTTTTGATTTTTTATTTTTAAAAGTATATGAAATATACCCCATAATGAATCAAAATAATTTAAACTTATTAAAATCATGATAATTTTAAAAACTGACAACTGAAAAGTGGAAACACCTTTTTCTTGTTTCCTGTTTTTGGTTTTTGGTTTTCAAAAAAATAGAAAATTGAAAACCAAAAATGATGCCAAACAAGCCCTAAAATTTTTTTTATTTAAATTTGTTGACATAAATTTCACATAAATGTTTAAATAGGGTAAAAAATTTCTTGCATTATAAGTTTTAATTATTTTTTTATGAAAATATCATGTCATTCATTGGATATATTTAGATAAAACCATAAATATCAAAAGATATATATTATTTTTTTAAAAAATAATAATATGCTAATATCTAAACATAATTTTCTTTTTTTTTTGTAAAGAAAAATAAAAAGATATTTTTTTTAATAATTTAAATGCTAGTATTAAAATGTTAAATCTCACAAAAAGATACTATTATTAATTAAAGCATGTAGTATTTTAATTTATTTGCTTTCTAGAAAAGGATAGTTTTTATTATTCATTAGTTTTAGGGCCCATTCACATTTACTTAATTTCAAATCAGTTCAATTCAGTTCAGCTTCAATCAGTTCAGTTCAGCTCCTAATTTCCCTCTCTCATAAAACATTCATTTCAGCTTAGTTCCGTTCAGTTTAGTTCAGCTCCAATCAGTTCAGCTCCAATTAAGTTCAGTTCAGTTCAGTTTAGCTCCCATCAGTTCAGTTCAGTTCAGTTCAGCTGTGTTCAGTAAATGTGAACATGCTCTTAGTTATGTGAAAATTTTATTTATCATTAATAAATAAATCATAAAAATGGTATGATTGATATCTCATCATCAAAAAATTGTTCCAATCTGAAGGGATTATGTTTCTTCTAAGAAATTTTTTGATAAGAACATATTAAAAAATGTACAAAAACACATGTAACAAAAATTATTAGATACACATAACTATATATAAGAAGTATCATAATTTAAAAATAATAATAATAAAAAAAACATATATATACCTTTTATCTTTTATTTCATTAGAATCACTAACTTCATCCTAATTGCTAGAACAACAATATTTTAGAAAAACTGAATCATTATTTTGTTGTCTTAAAAAACATGGTATTGCTTCTTATTTGGAATGATTGAAAAGTAAATAACGGAGTAAACTTTTCCTTCAATCAATTTTGCACAAAAGTGTTGAATAAAGTTGGCTTTAATTGAAGCATGAACGTAATCACCCTGTATTTTTTAAAATTAGAAATTAAATTAATTTAATAACTTGATTAAGCCATCTAAATCACTTTTTTCATAAAAAATTTAATAAAAAAACTAACATGTTTATGAAAAAATTGATTTATGTATACCATTTATAAAAAATACCTCCTCTTTCAATAGGATCATATTTGAGCTTATTAAGTTTTATCTTATTTGCAGAAGACTAGCTAAAACTCGTACATTGATTTTCAAATCATTTTTGGTCAAATTAAATTCTTAAATTGAATAAGACATTTAGAATCTGCATGTATATGATAACAAAATCAATAAACAAAACATTAGCATACAATCATTACGTCGTGCATTCCAAATAACACAATGTAAGTAATAATTACAAATAAATTTTAAACATGAATTTTATAACTTAAGTTAAAAATTATGATCTAAACTGACACAAAATGACTAACACAAATTTCACTTGATGTGGATTGTATATGATTCAAAATTTTACTAGTGTCGTATGATACGTCTACTTATAATAATAGGTATCATAATTTTCATTTTTTTTAATTTAATTAAATTTTAATAATTTTGATTCTAATTTAATCATAGCATAAAAGCTATTATCAAATTTTATCTTATAATTTTGTGCAATTATATTTATTTTTTTATATAATTTTATTTGTGGTTTTTGTGATAATTTTTTTTATCAATCTTCACTTTTTCATAGGTGGCGAGTGAATTTTTTAATTCATTCAAAAATAAAATATAAATCTAATTTTAAATTGGTCAAAATAATACCTTTTATTGGCGCGCCGAATGCTATGCAAAAATGCATACTTTATTTATATATATACTAGATGCAAGCCCGTGCGATGCACGGTTCTAGTGATCATTTTATTTAATTTAAAATTGTGTATATTTTTTAAGATCATTCATTAAATATATGGATAAAATTCCTAATAGCGTAAGATTATTTTTAATTTTAACACTAAGGTTATCTTTTGTTGTTTTATTTATTTTATGTGATGCTAAATTTAAAATCTCAAACTTTATTCACTAATTTTGCTTATGTGACAATTTAAATTTTTAATTTATAAAAGAAATGACAAATCTCATTTTTTTATTAAGTCTTTTGTCTATGCGTTATTTAATATACTCGTTCTATTTAAAATGCTAATTGTTTAACTATAAAATATTATGGGAAATTAGTCATATGAGATTTAGTTTTATTCATCAATATTTTCTAGGAGAGATTAAAGATATTTGCGATCAAAAATTTGCATCCATATATGTAAAAAAAATAATTATTACTTTGTTTTTTTTTTTATTTTTTAGAGAAGATAATTATTGGTTTTTAAAAATAATTTAAATTTAAATTATTCTCTATTCATTGTTTTTACCTATATGCCAAAATTCTAAATCTTATTCGTCACTTTTGCTTAGGTGACGAGTAAATTTTTTAATTCTAAAATAAATTAATAATCTAATTTTTCATTGGAAAAAATATAATACCTTTTTTTATGTGGCGTGCCAAATGCTCTCAAAAAATGCCTACTTTATTTATATATATTAGATTAGATTTTTTTTTTGAAACAAATATATTAGATTCATTTAAGTATTATTATTAGTCTTTTATAATTTTTTACATGTATTAAAAAAAATTAATTTTTTTTTATAAAAAAAATATCAACTCCATATGATTTAAAGATAAACATGGAGACAATAACAGATCGAATATAATGTAATTTGCAAGGAAAGTAGGGAAGGAGTATATAAGACAAAGGCAATCCAATTTACAAAACAATTATAATAAGTGGTCCGCATATTCTTTCAAAAAAAAAAAAAAAGTGGTCCGCATTTAACTAGGAAGGATGATATACGAGGGTATTTATGACAAAAGAAAAAAATGGAGAGCGAGCGGAGAGAAAATGAGCTTTCGGCTGAGGAAGCCGATTTAATGCGAAGATCGAATAAAAAGTTCAAACGAACTCCGGGAAATTCACCGGGAAATGGAAATCCTCAGCAGTACAGCAGGGGCTAGATGTTGAGATGGATGAACAGCATGAGGAAGTTCATTTGGAGAATAACCGAAAAAGTCGTATGTCCTACAACCATTTGACTAGTGGAGGGGAAGGAGTGCACAGTCCAAACCCTAATCCGGGAATGAATCAAGAAGATTTTGATTCTGATGATGATATTCCACTTGAATGTGAATCTGATGATGAAACTTGTCCCAATTTTCTATTGACTAAGGAGGAAAAATAAAGGTTGAGGCAGCCTTGGAGAAACGCGCTGATTATCAAATTATTTGATAAGAAAATGGGATACGAAGTGCTTATCAAGAGATTGCGGTTGAAATAGAGTATAAAGGGTGACATAACCCTTACTGATGTTGGATATGAATACTATGTAGTCAGATTCAATAACATGGAGGATTACAACTTTGTACTTACTCAAGGGTCATAGATTATTGGGGAAAGTTACTTGACTATTCGAAAATGGGAGCCTAATTTCATTGCGGATGAAGCACCTATTAAATTTCTTACTGCTTGGGTGAGAATTCCTCAACTATCTGTTGAATAATTTAATAAGATGTTCCTGCATCGAATTGGATCTAAAACTGGCCGTGTGATTAGCATTGATAGAAACACTAAAGCCATGAGTAGAGGCCAATATGTTAGATTCATCTTTGAAGTTGATGTGTCGAAACCCCTGTTATCGAAATTTAGATTGAATGGTAGGGTATGGAGGATCCAATATGAAGGATTGAAACAAATTTGTTTCAAGTGTGGGAGACTTGGACATAAAGAACACAAGTGTTCATTACAGATTGTTGTAGATGAAAATGGTGAGCAACGTCTTCAGAAGATCGATGAACCACAAAACCAGGCTCAAGTTTGTTCTAGACCTGAGGAAAGCGATCAATTTGGCTCTTGGATGTTAGTCCAGAGGACTAATAGAAAGAATGTGGCTAAGACCAAAGTTGATCCGAAGAAGCAACCAGAGAATAATAAGTCCAAGGGTGCCGAGACTAGTGCTAAGGGGCAAGAGAAGCCTAAGGTTAAAAAGAAGCAGGTTAGGAACTCTAACCTTGGTCAGGAGGGTACAAAACAAAAGGAGGGTCCAAGCGGGTCAAGGTTCATGGTCTTAGATCAAGAAGAGGATATGGAAATCAATGAGGAAGATCTCAAAGGCAATCCTACCAAGAATATCTTGAAGGCAAATGTCAACTCTTTGACTAAGGGAAGTGGCAATATTTTGAATGGGGCAATTAATTTGGGTGAAGATATATCTGTAGAAAGTGAGGATATTCCTCTACAGCATAAATCTCTCAATGAGATGGAAATTGATTTCGTAAGCCAATCACCAATTAATTTAGCAGAATCTTTGCATAAAGATAGGTCCTCCCAACTGAAAATAAAAGATATGAAATCTTCTCTCAAAAATAATCCCCTTGGCATAAATAAAAAAATTGATTTTCCTAAATTTAAGGAAAATATTGATCCTAAGATTTCTGATAATTATGGAAAAGATATTCTAAAATCTTTTTCAGAAAATCCGAAATCGTACAGTCCTCCAGTTATTCATCCGGATTTTTCCATTGCTTCTCACACACCTACTGCCCTTCGAGACCATTCAAACTCATCGTCTGTGAAGCAAGATAAATTATCCTCGAGTCCCAATTACTTTGGAGAACCGAATCCCCCCATCATACACAACGTTCATGGATTACCTGAAGGACGGACCAACTCAGGTTCTAGTCCATCCCCTAGCGAACAAAGGTCATCTCCAAGTGAGTACGTTCCTACCACCGAGACACAATCCCCCGGATATGTTGTTCACAGTAGAAATACCAATGAAAACTGATGCCCCAATGAAAGCTCTAAGGGACGAGTTCTTGAAAATTCTGCCTAGCATTCCGCTGAACACCTATGATGCTTACCCTAACTTTCCAATGTTTAATATGTCGTTAAAAATTATGATTTGGAATGTTCAAGGTGTAGGTAATAAATTAGCCGCAATTTGTGAGCTAATTCGAATTAATGATCCTACAATCTTAGCTTTGGTAGAGACTCATATTAGTGGTGAACAAGCTCAGATGATTTGTGATCGTATTAGCTTCTCTGGCCAATTTAGGTGGATGCTCAAGGTTTCAGTGGTGGAATTTGGCTTTTTTGGAGAGAATAAATTGTTTCAGTGACAGTGCTTGATAATTATACTCAACACATCACAGTTGAAGTAGCTAAAAGAGGGGAAAACCCATGGATGTTCTCTGCGATCTATGCTAGCCTAGATTCGACAATTAGAAAAGACCTTTGGGATGCATTACATAACATCAAAAGGTCTTTTCGTGGCCCTTGGATGTTGGCAGGTGACTTCAATGCTACTCTTAATATGTCGGAAAGAGTAGGGAATGGTGGATCGGAAATGGAACGTGCCGTGAATTTTCTGATTGGGTTAATGCTAACGGACTGCTTGATTTGGGATGCTCGGGCCCTGAGTTCACTTAGAGCAGGGGATTGTCTTTGAACACTTATAAAGCAACTAGATTAGGATGAGTTTGATGAAGCTACAGTCCATAATCTCACAAAAATCACTTCGGACCACTGTCCTATTTTGATTAACACAAATGGTTTTTCTCCCTTGCCTATTTCTTTAAAACCATTCCGATTTCAAGCCGCGTGGATCAAGCATGAGACCTTTGATGACTTTGTCAGGAGCAAATGGAATAACAGTGAACCTTTAATCCCTTTTTGGAAGAGTTTCTCCAATGAGTTGTGTGCTTGGAATAAAGAGCATTTTCATAATATTTGTAGAAAAAAAGCAGAGTTGTGGGCACGACTTGAAGGCATCCAGAGAGCTATGGCTAATGGTGCTCCTCATTATTTATTAAAACTAGAAGCAGATTTGAAGAAAAAAAATGATGTAAGTGCTAGAGCAAGAAGAACTTCTATGGTTCCAAAAATCTAGAGCTACGGCTATTGTTGATGGGGATAGGAATACTCGTTATTTTCACCTATCTAACATTGTTCTAAGAAGGAGAAATTGTATCGAGACTTTGCAAAATTCAGATGATGTCTGGATTACAGAACCGGAGAATGTTAAGGCACTTGTAGTTGATTATTGGCAAGGAATTTTCACTGAAGATAATCAAGGAGCTACAATTTCTAACTTGTTGTGAAACTACTTCCTCCGTATTGCTGATGATGATTGGGAGACTCTCAATCGGCTCTTTGTAGTATGTGAAATTCAGAAGGCATTAAGGAGCATGGATCCTTACAAAGCCCCGAGTCCGGATGGGTTCCAACCCCTTTTTTATCAAAGGTTTTGGGACTTGGTTCACCCAAGTTTGATTCGTACTGTATTGGATGTTCTTGAAGGCCGAACTTTCCCTCAAGGATTGACATATGCATTCTTGGTTTTAATTCCAAAAGTGGAAGTTCCTCAATCGACTAAAGACTTTCGTCCCATTAGCTTGTGTAATATCACTTATAAGATTGTGACGAAAGTCATGGTGAATAGACTTAAACCTCTTCTTCCTAATTTGATCTCCCCTACACAGTGTAGTTTTGTTCCAAGGAGACAAATCACGGATAATATTATAATTGTCCAAGAGATGCTTCATACAATGCGGAGGAAGCAAGGAAAAGTGGGATACATGACAGTCAAGATTGATTTCGAGAAAGCCTATGACAAATTGCGTTGGTCTTTTATCCGGGATTCTCTAATGGAGATGCGTTTGCCTCAAAATATGATTGATATTGTGATGATGTGTATTTGCTCGACTAGCCTTCGGATTTTATGGAATGGAGAACCAACGGAAGCTTTTGTTCCATCAAGGGGGATCCGTCAAGGAGATCCTTTATCTCTCTACTTATATGTGATTTGTATGGAATGTCTTGCTCATTTAATTGACAAGGAATGTAGACTTGGCACATGGAAACTGGTCAAAGCAAGTAGGAATGGTCCTCCGATTTCAAACCTTGCTTTTGCGGATGACCTAATTTTATTTTGTGAGGCTACTAAAGAGAAAGTGGAATTAATGAAGAGTTGCCTTGACAAATTTTGTCAATCTTCCGGAAGCAAATTCAGCATTTCCAAGAGTCGTGTTTACTTCTCAAAAAATACGAGCAGTGAGAATAGAGGTGAAATTTGCAGTGTTCTACACATGGAGGAAACTGATGACTTCAGAAAATATTTAGGTGTTCCAACAATTAATGGCCGAGTCACTAATGAAAATTATCAATTCTTGGTGGAAAGAGTCAATTCGAAGCTTGAAGATTGGAAGTCCAAAACACTGTCATTGGCAGGGAGGGCAATATTAGCCCAAGCATCCTTGTCTTCCATTCCCTACAATGCAATGCAGTCAACTCAGATTCCTAGAGGTGTGTGTGACCAGATTGATAGCAAGAATCAAAGTTTTTTATGGGGAAGCTCAGATGAGAAGAGGAGGATTTACTTATTTTATTGGGAGACAGTGACTAATCCTAAAATCAAGGTGGCCTTGGTTTAAAATCGATGAGACAAGTGAACTCGGCTTTTTTGTGCAAACTTGGATGGCGTTTACTCACTCAACCACAGTCCCTTTGGTTGAGAGTTTTACGTAGTAAATATTGTCATGGACGGTGTGATGTTGATATGTTTTCTCACAAGCAAGATGCATCGAACGCTTGGAGGGGAATTATGGAAAATATTGATACTCTTCGAAAGGGTATTAAATCGGCAGTTGGCAATGGTTTAGCTACAGATTTTTTGGTGGCATTGATGGGCTAGAATGACCCTTTGATTAAGTATGTAGTAGCCAGGCCACCTGATGATATTCTGGAATATAAAGTTAACCACATGTGGGATGAAAATCGGGGGTGGAAACTGGAACTCTATGCTGATTATCTTCCTACTGACATACTCAAAGTGATCCAATCCCATGAGGTAATGCTCGATGAAGATGAAATTGATTGCATTACTTGGAAGGGTACCCCATCTGGGGGTTTTTTAATCAAGTCAACTATTCAAATCATGCACCACAATCAATCAATTGAAGCTGAAGATCGAGCAATGTGGAAGCACATCTAGCAGTTGAAAGCCCCTCAAAGGGTTCGTTTCTTTCTTTGGTTGGCCAGCCATGGTAAGTTAATGACTAATGCTAATAGATTTAACAAGCATTTAAAAGGGAACCCAAGGTGTTTTATGTGCGGGTCTGTCGAGGAGAATATATGTCATATCTTGCGAGATTGCCCAACTGCTAGTTTAGTTGGGAAAAATTTGGAGTCCAATTTGATGCTAAGTGGCAGAGTGTTTATGCTAGGCAATGGATAGAGGATAATATAACTTCCAAAGCTGCTACTGACAGTGATTAGTGGTATTTGGTTTTCGCTACTACCTGCTGGTGGTTATGGAGATGGCGCAACGAGCGCACTTTCAATAGGCAGGTGAATATCTCTTGGATCAGAATGCCTTTATAATGGCTAGAATTGGTGAAATCAGAAGAGCTTTTGATCGTAATATCATGGAGAATGTGTTGGGAAAGAGGAAATACAGGGAAGTTCTTGTTCGATGGGAATTTCCAAGGGAAGGTTGGGTTAGGCTCAATACTGATGGAGCTTCGAAAGAAAATCCGGGACCAGCAGGGGCAAGTGGTTTTATTCGTGGTCATAGAGGAGAACTCCACGAGATGTTTGCTATGAACTGTGGGATATGCTCGTGTACTGAAGCTGAGCTGTTGGGGGTTATGAGAGGGCTAGCAGTTGCTTGGAATGGTGGACATCGTTTGGTGCAACTTACATTCGACTCGGAGACTATAATCCGAATGTAGAAGGATCCTACTCCTTCCAACTCTCCTTATTTTCATCTAATCCGAAAGTGCGAGGCTCTAATCACTCGAAGTGATTGGAAAGTCACCGTTGGGCATTGTTACAGGGAAGCTAATCAAGTGACTGATAGATTAGCTAACTTGGGAGTGACATCTACGGAAAAATTTATTCTCTTTGAGGCGGTCCCGGAGGATCTTCATCCCGTTTTATTAGAGGATTTAGGAGGGGTTACGAGGCCTAGGATGGTGCCTTCTATGGGTACTTAGTGACCTCGATTTATTTGGGGAGTAGTTGTAGTTTGTTTTCTTCAGTTTTTCTTTCTTTTTCTTGCTTTCTGTTGCTTTCGTTTTTCTTTTTAGTTTGTACTTGCTTTTCTTTGTTTTAGGGGCTTGCCCCTCGTGTTCACAAAAAAAAAAACGAGGGTATTTATGATAATATTTGTCGCAGAGTATGATAATATTGTATATATTTTGTATCCTTATTGTACTAGATTTACGATATTCTGTAAAACTCTATATATATTGATCAATGGTACACACTCGAGACTGGGAAGTTTTTCCAAAATCCAATAGATCAAATATTACAATGAATATTCAGTTGTACTATGTATGTATGTATGTATGAATATGTATGAATATATGTATGTAGTGGTACTATATATGCATTCAGTGGTACTAACTACGTGCAAATAGTATCAATAAATAACCAATAGGCAATAGTATTATATAAGCTTTCAATGGTACTCCCTCGTTTTTTTTAAGAGAAAAAAAAAAGCATTACTTGGTGATGCTTGAAGTTTTAAGAGATTAAAAGAGTCATAGTAAAAGTAAGATGAAACCAAAAAGAAAAACTATGTGAGAGAATCAATGGCAGATCCTTGGTGGGTTCAAGTGGATTCATTAAACCCATTATTTGAAAAAAAAAACAATTAAAAAAACGGATGTAAGCAACTTGTCCGCAAAATTTAGATAGTAAAGCCAGTAGTAGATATTATCAAATCAACATTTTTTTCTTACAGGGTGTTTGCCTCTGTGGTATAATGACTGTCATTCTCAA